ATTTAGAAAGTATTTTGCATTATGGGAAACCACAGAGTGATATAACTAAAAGATTCTCAGATGGCAGATATTTTATTTCTCTTCAGGGAGGAGAAACCAAACAGAGAAACAGAAATAAAAGATATTACCTGACTAAATCAAGTATATCAAACTTTGGATTGTTGTGCCTAGCCTAAAAAAGAACTAATTTTTCATAATTCTTTCTCTCTCTCTCTCATCACAATTATCATTTTCTTGCCTCTTAACGTTCCTAAGTGGAACTGTATGGCTTTAGTTTGGAAAGCAACAAAAAAAGAGGAAAAAAAATATTGATTAACGAGTTATGGAGTAACTCACAGAATGATGGGAAAACTAAACAGCTAGAACAACTAGATTTCGGGAAAAACAGGAACAGGAAAGCTCCAGGCATCTAAATAGCAAACTGCTGTTGGATCTCCTCCTCAAGATGCTGTCTTGAAAATAATTCATGTCTCAACTCCACACATTTTCCATCTTTGAGTCCTTGCTGTTAAAATGCAAATTTCACAAAGGGGGCCTGATTGGCCCTTCGTGGCCATGTGCCGATCTTTCATGGGAGGTTAGAGGTTGAGGAATGAGAGGAGTACATTTATTGTCATGCCCAAGCCATGGGACCGGAGGGCGGGTGTTTCTCAAAGAAAAACAAAGTATTGTCACCCAAAGGAGAGGTGGGACATACTGTAGAGGCAGAAATAAGAGACCCAATAGGAACACTTTTACCTTGGTGACATCCAGTCATTCCACTCCCCAATATGACTTCTCCAGAGATAGAAGGCATGTTGGCTGTTCATCCTGGGTCCTTGGGGTGAGTGATGATGCTGAGGGTTACTGGCTTGTTTCAGAAGATATCTGTTTTCTCTAAGGAAAAGAGTGCTCTTTAGATTTTCTCTACTGGTTTGGGCAGCTCAGAAATAGACTTGAGAAATTAAACAAGTTTTCATGCAAACTCAGGGTTCACAAAACGGTTCTTTTTTTTGGCTTTCACACATTTAATTCGACACATTTGTTAAGTGCCTACTACATGCCTGCACTGTTCTAGATGTTGTGACACAGCATATCCTTCTATTCACCATTGTATCTCCAACACCTTGTTCAATAAATATCTATTGAATGAATAACTGAATGACACTAGCTTGTGCTACGTTGCCACAAGCACAGCTTTTCTGTGGAATGCACTAATGATATGATGTTGCAACTTAAGTATTTTGATTTTCCATTTCTTCCTACCCCACATATGCCTTTTCCTCCAGCTCACAGAAGTCATCAGTAAATTCTTAAAGAAGGAGGACTTCAAACTACACTAGTTATTTTCAAAGCAGACTCTAGAGTTTTCCCTGCCATGGAAAAATCTGAAAATATAGACCAGCAGTTCTGGCTTGAAAACAAGCAGCTGATGGGTCTGTGAGTCACCAGTCACCCCAGAGGATGGTCTACTTCCTCAACATCAGGTGCTTAGGGGTATTTGGTAAATGTCAGCTGTTGTCGCCTGTGGTAGGTGCGTTGGCATAGACGCAGGCAGTAGGAACAATCTAGCATCATTCTAAAAAAAGGAAAGCTCACTGCTCTCCTGCAGTGATGTTTGAAACAGGAAATGGGGCTGCCAAAATGTGGCTGCAGCTGTCTGGAAGCTGACCTGCAAGGTTTAGTGGCGTTGTCATGCCGATCAAAGGTCCAATTTACTAAAACACAGGGAACTCTTGAAGGTATCCAATTTCTGGGAAGATGAGCACTATGAAAACACGTTTAATTATCCTTAGACAACTAAGAAATAGACTATTCACGTAGATTTGAAAAAATGAGGTGGTATTATGTGTACTAATAAGAATAGGTCTCTAAGCCATTTTAACTGTATTAAGTGAAAAAAGCTAGCAGAGAGATTAATGGGTACCTTTTATATTGATTAAAACTCACTACAAAAAAAAAATCACACACACAGTGATACTATACATACATCAAAGGGACACCTATGTGTATGTGTGTCCAGAAAATAGTTTGTACTGATAATAATGGTTACTCTGGGGAGGGCTGGAAGGAGACAGGACTGTGGATTGTGGATTGTGGTCAGAGGGAAATTTAACAGCAATATTCCTATTTTTTAGAGGAATGTTTCATTTATAAACTTTAAAACTTAAAATTAATTTTAAATCAAAAGTATGAATAATTGTTAGAGCAGGCAACCATTACACATGATCCCTAGGAAGGCGGAGCATTAATATCCCAGTCAAGTTTGTTAAATAGACGTGGTTCTAGGGCTTTCTAGAAATATCCCATATGAAACAGACCACTTAAAAGATACCCACACATTACTGAGGCACATATGTGGAAAGAAATATTGTCATACGCATGCCAAGTAGTATTGGAACTGGCGTTTGCCTGACAGGCCTCTATTATTTGGATTTAATCAATAGTGCTGAATTCTGGTATTTTTATAGTGCTTTATGGTTTTCAAACAATCTCATTTGAGTCTCACAGCTTTGTCTAGTAGTTAAGGCCAGACTCATCATCTCCCTTCTGCAGGTTAGAAAATCGAGGTTCAGAAAAATTAAGTGACTTGTCTAAGATTAAAATTAGTACCTCTATTTTCTAGGAGCTGAATGCCTTCTCTGATTTGTCTATACTCAACAAATCTAACTTCAATAGTTCATAGTAGCTGTCAGACCCTAAATTTCATCTTCATGCTGGCTGAGTTCACATTTTGGCAGCTGCTTCTATCTACTTTCTACCTAAACCCAGGTGGATTGACTCAAATCTAAAATCCAATTTCAGAACACAGTGCATTCTACCAAGTGGATTTTCTAGCTTGTAGGGGAGCTAGTTGTCAAGAGCAACACTCAGCCTGTATCCTGGCACAGTTACAAGTGATAAATGACATGGTGCTGGGCTTGATACCAGCCCTGTGCAGCCTGGTGACACCTAGTACTCTGTCATATGGTGTTAACGTTTCATGATGGGTCCATATTTCCCCAACTAAGTCAGAGTCCTTAGGGACCTTCTCTTATTCTTCCTTTTCCCTCAACAGCTAGTCTCTCAAAAAACATGCACTTGATAAGTTCCTTCAGCCTGTTAATGTAGCCAGCACAGGACAAACCTACGTGTAGTGACACAGTTTAAAATTAATACACCACCCATGAGAATTGACACTTCTGAAAATAAACTCTTGCTCTTCCTCTTCACTCTTGCAAACTGGCTCCTCCCACACTCTTCTCTATTTCAGGCAATTGCAATTTAACCTTCACAGTTTGTAAACCCAAAAGTTTGCAATCACTCCTTCCTTTTTTTACACCCTATTTCCAACCCTTTAGCAAATCTTATTGGCTCTACCTTCAAATTCCATCTAGAGTCCCACCATTTCTTACCTCCTCTACTGCCACTTCCCTGGTCCAAACCACTGTTATTTGTCACCCAGGATCATTACAATGGCCTCTAGTTGCATTTTCCTAAAACAGCTCTTGGCACCAAAATTCTTCTCAACGTAGCCGCCAATGGATCCTATTGCTACCTAGGTAGGCCACAGTACTCTCGTTACTCAAAACCTCCCAAGTTTTGCTCAGCTCATATGGAGCAAAATCCAAAGTCCCTACAAAGTCTGACAAGGTCCCACATTCCATCATCTCCTATTACTCTTCCTCTGGCCCACAGGTCTCTGAGACCCCTGGAATCCATGCTGCTTCTCGGGCACTCCACAGTTTATTCTCTCCTCTGGGGTTTTGCACATGGTCTTCGCTCTGTCCGAAATGCTCTTTCCTCTGACATCAGGGCTAGATTGCTTATCTCCTTCAGGTCTTGGCTTAAATGTCACCATATCAGGGGCCTTCCCTGACCACCCCATTTAAAATTGCAGACACTCCCCTTATTCCCAGTGTTTGTGTGTGTGCGCGCGCACACACACACACACACACACACTCTTCCCAGGCACTTCTTATCCCCTTGGCTGACTTATTGTGTTAGAAGGTGATATCTACCTTCTAACATACTGAATAATGTGCTGTTTTTATTTGTCTAACTTCCCTACTAGAATGTTTGCTTCAAGAGAGTAGGAGCAAACAGTGCTTCTTTTGCCCAGTACCTAGAACATTCCTGACACATAACAGATGCTCAGTAAGTATTTGTTGAATAATTCAGATTGGCAAAGATAAAAATTAGATGGTACCTTGCATTGGTGGGGGTATAGGAAAATAGATACTTTCATATGTTGCTGGTCAGACTCTAAACCGGACTTACCTCTTTGGAGGGCAATTTGGCAAGAGCCATCAAAATTTAAAAAGGCATCTTATCCAGCAATTCAACTGCCAGACATTTACTCAATAGATACACGTCTAAACACATCGTTCAAGGATGTTCATTGCCGCATTACTTTAATAACGAAAGGATAGAATTCACTTAAAGGTACATCAATAGGGGCCTGGCTAAATAACATATGGGCATCCATATGACTTCATAATATGCAACTGTTAAAATGATAGAGGAAGATATATATGTGCTGCTATGGAATAGTCTCGAAGATGTACTGAGTGAAACAAGCCCGGGGCAGAAATGTGCGTGGTACACTACTGCTTGGGTAAAAAAGGAGGGGGATTTGTGTTCATATACTTACAAGTCTGTACAAACATAAACAACTACATATATACATAAACATATAAATACATACATAAATAGCTCTGGAATATCTCAAGAAACTGATAGTGGTTGCCTTTCTTGAGGAAGTTATTCAAGGACAGGGAGGCCTGAAAACGATTTTAAAAAATCATTGTGAATATAGTACTGAAAAAAACCCACCTCTATAATGGGTCAATCCATATACTCTTTTGCTAATTTTTAGTCTGCGTAGAGCTGACTTGTTAAAAATGCCCTAAACTCTCCTTTGAACGCGTGGGGGCGGGAGGAGGACGTTTAATATCCTCGGGGAGTGAAGCCAATAAAACGTATGAATAGATTCAGCCCGATCTCGTGCTCCGTGACCCGAGGGCTTTCCCCCTCCTCCCCGCAGCTCGGGTGGCGCGTCGGTGCCCTTGGATTTTGCCGTCTGGCTGGAGTCCCTGCTTCCTCCTGAGAGGGCAGCAGCGGAGCGTCTGCGGGACGCATGCGCCCCAATTTGCGCCGGGGGAATTAAAAGAAAGAGAGAGAGAAAAAAAAGCCCCAACGTAACACGCGCCCCAAACAAAACCCAAGGGGAGGAAAGCGCGCGGCCCTGCAGACGCTGGGCGGTGGAGGCGTCTCCTGCTTCGCCCGCGACATTGGCCGCGGCGTGATGCGCACGGACCGGCCCGCGACGCCCGGGCCGCCACTGTCCCCGCACCTGGACGCCGGCCCGGTGGCCGCGCCCCAGCTGCGTGCTCTCGCAGCCGCGACTTTCTCGGAGTCTCCCGGCGCCGGCGGGGCAGCTCGCTCTCCATGGGGCTGAGGGACTGGCTCACGACCGTGTGCTGCTGCTGCCCGTGCAAGTGCCTGGAGGAGCCCAACGTGCTCGAGAAGGAGCCCCTGGTCAGGTGGGTGCGCGCCCTGGCCGGGATTTAGGGTTACCTGGCCGCAGCCCGCTGTCGCGGAGTGGGGATACCTGCGTGCCCGTCCGAGTTGGCGAGGTGGGCTTGCTTAAGGGAGACACCGAGACATAAACTAAATCCCTTGGTCCCTTACAGGATAGCCTGTTTCTTGGGCTTGTCCCTTGGGTAAGATTTTTGCCTGAAAGCACAAATCCTCGGAGGCACCTGAGACGCAGGAAGATGCCTGTGGAAAGTGTCAAGAGTTCGGGGCAGGGCAGTACGAAGAGAAGTTCTCCTAGGGGTCCGATTAAATAGGATTGCGACTGACTATATATTTGATAGGTATATTTCAGTGCATTAGGCACTTGTGAGTTTCTGTTTAACTCAGCAAAAAAGTTGGATACTTTGTCATTCAATTTTATCATCAAATAAGACAATTTCAGTGACTGAGCACAAGGAAATATTTTTCACATTAAAAAATACGTTTGTTTTTTTTTCCCAAGGGGCAGCCTATTCACTAAGATGTGGTTTCATTACAGGTCAGGCTATGAAGTGAGAAAATTTAATGCACATTAGCAATGTGCTGAGTGGTTTTGTGAAGGGACCATAACAACACAGTTTTGTTCAGGACTGAGATTTTGACCAATTATATTTTAACTCTATTGAAATTAAGGTGTCTTGGGGGTAGCTATGCAAAAAAACCCAAAACCAAAACCAAAACCAAAAAAACAATATTTAAAGTGAAGTTGGGAAACAGTATATTAGATGGAATTCCAGGTTTGAGTAAGCAAATATATTTCAGCCAGTATTTCTTTCTTATGATGTATGCAACTAATATGAGAAAGCTTTCACAACTTTTTTAAAACTTGATTTACCTTGTCCTATTCCATCAAGTCTAAAAACTCCCCTTGACTTTTGAGATCTTATATAACCCCTTCCTGCCTGTCCACTCTTATTTCCCAGTACATTAAACACTGTACACTCCTTAATTTAATCAGACAGGCATCTTTACTACTCTAGGAACAATCTAACCAACCTTATTCTCTCAAACTTGCCTGAATGGTGACCTTTATCCTTCCTGCCCCCTCCTAAACGCTAGTCCTGAAGGTGCCCCACAAGCAGTCTTCTTTGATTACTTTGTCCTTATTCATCTCTCTCCCCTATGACTTAGGACTTAGAATTTGCCATCTGTCCCTCACGGTTTAGTGAGCACCAATGTGTGTAAACATATGTGTCATGTTGTTTTATATATCTAAACAGTCATACACACAGTACACAATGTTTTTCTTTGCACTTGTGGTGGTGCCCCCACTTAGATTATTAGATTATTGTGGGCAGGGAGATACTAAATAATCTATCCCTAGTTTTTAAATTTTATTTCTTTATTTATCTCTTAAATTTTTATTTATTTATTTTTTAGACGAGGCAACCCTTGGTTGACCTCACAGATTGCAAGGACCTTGTCAGTTTACAATCTCTTATTTTTTAATTTTTTACACCTACAGCACCTGGTCTTCCTAGGTGGTCTCCTATCCAAGTACTAACCGGGCCTGACCCTGCTTAAGCTTCTGAGATCAGATGGGATCGGGTTTGTTCAGGGTAGCATGGCTGTAGACTCTACCCCTAGTTTTAAATGTAGTGGGTGAAATCTAGAATTTCATACTCGAGTTGCACACTCAGTTTGTCATTGTCTGTAGTAACATGAAATGCAACCTTCAGCTTAGTCTCATCCTCAAAGCCTTGGGTCTTTCTAATTTTCTGTCCAGGATTGCTCTTTGAGTTAATAGTTTTGGTTGTTTTTAACTCTCCAGCCTCTCCTGTCTTGGTTTATACTAGGAAGTTAGTGAATATTGCACATGATTTTAAGGAGACAGAGTCATTTAGGGCAGAATAGCATAGTGCTCATGAGTCAGATTGCCTGGGGTTAAGTCCTAACTGGTTGACCTGGCACAAGTTATGAAATTTATTTGTGCCTTAATTTCCTCATCTGTAAAATGGGTATGAGAATAGTATGTACCTCAAAGGGTTGTAGTGAGAAATAAAAGGAACTAATCAATGTCAAGTGCTTAATATAGTGTCTGACATAAAGTAAACATTCAATAAATTTTAGTTATTAATTATTATTCTTCTGAGCATGTGAACATGAGTGGACTGGTGTTTTGTGGTTTAGTGTCATTCTGGCATCATTTCAGTATGGCAATATTTGGGAAGAGCAGCCTATTGATGGATGTGTGGAGCAGTGATGTGTATGTGTATGGATACCTTCATGTTCTTTCCTACCCAAGCCATAGGTTAGTTTGAATCTTTTTGTTGTTGTTTATTTTTAATTTTTTTCAATTTGTGAATTTAGTGGTTTTAGTATATTAACAAAGGTGTGCAATTATCACCACTATCTAATTCAGAACATTTTTATCACTCCAGCAAGGAACCATACCCATTAAGCAGTCACTTGCCGCCCTCCCTCCCCTGTCCCTCGTCCCCTCCCCAAGACAACCACTAAGCTATTTTCTCACTTTATAGATTTGCCTGTTCTGGACATTTTGTATAAATGGAATCATACAATATGTGGCCTTTTGTATCTGGCTTCTTTCACTTAGCATAATGTTTTCAAGTTTCATCATGTAGAGTGTATCAGCGCTTCATTTCTTTTTATATTTGAATAATATTTCATTGTCTGGATATATTATGTTTTATTTATCTGTTCATCAAGTGATGGACATTTGGGTGGTTTCCACTTTTTGAATCTGATAAATAATGCTGCTATAAACACTTGTGTACAAGTTTTTGTGTGGACATGTTTTTGATTCTTTGATTATACACCTAGAAGTGAAATTTCTGAATCATATAGTAATTCCACATTTAAATTTTTGAGGAACTGCCAGAATGTTTTCCAAAGTGGCTGGTTTGAAATCTTGATGTAGAGAAATCATGGGCAGATGGTCCTAATTTTTATTTTATTGAGAACTTCATCCTTTATGTCATAATATTTTTTTCAATTAAAAAAAAGATTTTGTAAAGACACCTCCTATTCTTCTCCTCAACTAAATCCTTTGCTCTATTGTAAAACAATGGTTTTCAAGTTTTATTTTGCATCCCAAGGTAACAGTGCCTGGAAAAGTTGTGTTCAGGGGGTAGAGGGAAGACATTTGTCATTTGTATGCATGATCATCTGTAGTCCTTTTTCCAAAATGCCCTGGGGACTCTTGTTAGTTCAGGAAAACAACTCTTAGTCTCATCTTGTTTGCCAATCTGTTTTTGTTTTTGACCTTGCTCCTTTTGCTTTTTCTGGAACCTGGTACCTGAAGAGAAATGCCTGTCTCCTGTCTGGTTTGCATTTGTATTTCTCTCTGTCCCACTAGTTCTCTCCCCACAGCCCCCTTTTCTTTAGACATATGCTAAGGCCTCCCCTGACTGAAAATTCATCCTGATACTGCCATGGCCTTCAGTTACCATCCTTCGCTTTACTTAGCGTCAGGTGTAAGCTATCTTTAAAAGCGGTCAACTGTGCCCCCCACCTCCTTCTTTACCACCCACTCACCACGAAATCTGGTTTTTGTCCCCTGTATGATTACATGAACATTGCTTAGAGAAAGAAATCTGATGTTCTTGTCTTGGTGTACATGGCTTACCTCCGTGCTGACCATCTGTGCCTTCTTTCAAATTTCCTCGTTCTCTGACTTCTCTGATTTTGCAATCGCTAGTCTCTGATCTGTCTCATCATGCTGGTTTTCCACCCCGTATCTTTGCTCATTGTTAGCTAGGCATGTTTTCATTCTCTCTCCTTAACATTTTAGTCAGGTTTTAAGGGCCATTTCAGTTGCCACTTTTGTGATGAAGCCTTAGAAAGCCTCCCCAAGTGCCTATGGTGTCTCTTTTCTTTCTTTTTACCCCTCAGATTGTTTACTGCTTTCTGCCTGCTCTTATGGTTATAAGGTGGTTGCTGTAACCCCTGCCAATTGGAGGCTTGAATCTTGATTGGAGGGACTAAGTCTTACTCACCTGAGTATCCCCTGTTTTATGCCCAGCACAGTGCTCAACATGGAGTAAGAAGCGAACACTTGTCTATTAATAAAAATGATAATAACAGCTGTTCACTTATTCTTTCAATATGCAAATTTTAAAAAATGTATTTAAAACAAAGTGTTATGAAGAATAATAAAGCGAAACCCGTATACCAAGAACCTACCTTAAGAAAACTTTAATGGAGTGGAAGCTCCTCCATGACCCCTCCATAACTGCATCCTCCTCCCATCTCCAAAGGTGACCTGTAAATTGAATCTGTGTGTAGCATTCTTAACTTTAAATAAATGGTGCATACCGCATGTAGGCTATCGCATAACTGAGATTTCTTTACACACATTCTGTCATTTAATCGTCACTATGACCGAATAAGATAGGTAATACGTCTCCATTTTATAAATGAAGAACCTAGGGCTTTGAGAGTTTAAATAATTAATTCAGAGTCACAACCGATAAGTCGGAGAGCCAGAATTTGAACTCGTGTTTGTTAGTGTCCAGGCCTTGCCTTGTAGAATGTTCAGGAAACTACCCAATGGTTTCCAAAAGTGATTTATAATTATTTGTACAATAGAAACTGGTGGAGATCACTAGTCTTAGTTCCTGTCCATTTTGGCCCCTTTCTCCTTCCCTTCTTCCATGTCCTTCATTAGCATAATTCTTCTACCTAGATATGGAAGCAACCTGGCCCTGTAAACCAAGTCCGATGGGAGTTAGGAGACTGTGTCCTCGTCCCAGCTATTAACCAGCTATGAGATTTTGGAGAAGTCTCTTAGCTTTCCAGACCCTTATTTTCTTCTTCTGTAACATGAAGAGATGAGATTTCAATGTGCCATCTTGAAGGCCTGTTCCATTCTTGACACACGTGGCCCCCTTCCTGTGGGCTTGTGTCAGCTGAAATCCTGTTTGACCTGGAATACAGGGGCAGTGAGGCTGTCTGTGGTACTGGGAAGGAACCAGGAGGCCCAGGAGATGAGAATTACCACCAT